CCCTCAGGCTTCATTGCCACACATACACCATCATGTTAAATGACAGTGTTTCACTCTAGGACACTTACTTTTAATAAAATGATTCTCTTCTACAGTTTGATTTAGCTGAATGAGACATATTTTTGCTCCTGTTTTTGCTTTAAATACTATTTGAATAGCAGTATTTGAAAAAGAAAATGCTTAATAGAATCTTTAGAGTAAAAGACAGATACTGAACAGAGCCAAGAGTGGCTAGTGATCAAGAGTCTGGTCGTGAGAATAGAAACCAGGTCTCAGAAGATCAGAGGGAAGAAGAACCAGAAAGGCAGCATATGTACTAGATCTGGCCATGAGAAGGGGGAGGAAAACAGAATGGTGGCCAGAAAAGAATAGTATGATTTCTTTGGAAATTGGGAGATCTATAGATGCCACACAAAATTGCTTATGAAAGTAAAATTTGAATAAAATTAATTCATTAAACTTTAAAATAATGTAATTTTTATGGGGCGCCTGGGTGGCTCAGTCAGTTGTGTCTGACTTCGGCTCAGGTCTTGATCTCGTGGTTTGTGTGTTCAAGCCCTGCGTCAGGCTCTGTGCTGACAGCTGGGAGCCTGGAGCCTGCGTCGGATTCTGTGTCTCCCTCTCTCTCTGCCCCTCTCCCTCCTGCACTCTGCCTCACTCTTCTTTCTCTCTCAAAAATAAATATTAACCAAAAAAAAAAAATGTAATTTTAAAAATCACACTGATATCTGTTAAAACACCAGAAATCTTATTTCTTCACTCCTCTGTCTCTATCTCTAATGTGTGTGCTCACTGATTATGGAGGTTCAGGGCCTCACATCAATGCAGGAGGCATTTATTAAATGCTGTTTATGTCCCTGGTAGTGTGCTAGGGTTATAATAGTAAGGCAGTCACCAAGTGAGATATGAACAGGGTGGTCATTGTTTGTATATTCCAGCCACCAGTATTTCCTTTCGCTTTATTTACTGTAGTTTCCATCAAGACCTCGATTTTCCGAATACAGAATTAGAATTCTGTCTTTGCTTTTTTCAAGCACATAACATGCTATAACTCTCTGCTTCTCCAATTCTGATTTTTTTTTTTTTTAACCTCCCCAGGTGAGGATGGGATGAGGTGGTGGGTCCTTCCACTCCAGGGTCAGACATGCCTTGTTAGCAGTGTTTCTCTAGCCCCTCTGGAGATTAATGGGTTCACAGGTAGTGATCAAATAACTTAGGCGATGGAGACTTTAGACCAAGTGAAGCAGGGTAGTTTGGTTTTTTTGGTTTTTTTTTTTTTTTTTTTAAGTGTTAATATGAAGAGATTTCTGGAGATTTCTCCGAGAACATTTTAGGGGGTCTGCAAAGTCTAAGCTATTTTTATAATACTATTAAGACATTACTTTTTCCACTCTTTCTCATGAATGTAAAGTAAAATTTTTCAGAGGCTCTATGATGTGTGGTATCACAACAGATTGAATACAGAAGGATATATGAAAATTTCAAACTGATGTTATTTATATTAACATATAATGGGCTTTTTTTCCCAGTTTTTTTAATTGTGATAAAATACACATAACATAATATTTACCATTTTAACTGGTTTTAAGTGTAGGTTTCAGTAGTTTTGAATACATTTATAATGTGCCGCCATCACCTTCATATATCTCCAGACCTTTTTTCATCTTGTAAAGCTGAAACTTTATACCCATTAAACACTAACTCCCCATTCTTTCCTTTCCTCATCTCCTGGCATTCCCCATTCTATTTTATGTGTCTATGAATGTGAACTTTCTACGAACCTCATAAAGTGGAATCATATAGTATTTGTCCTTTTGTGTCTGGCTTACTTCATTTAGCATAGTGTCCTCAAGGTTCATTCATGCTGTAGCATGTTTCAAAATTTCTTCCCTTTTTAAGACTGAATAATACTCTACTGTATGAGACACCACATTAGACTTACCCATTCATCACTTAGTGGATGCTAGGGTGTCTTCCATGTCTTAGCTATTGTGAATAATGCTGCTATGAACACAGCTGTACAAGAATCTATTTAAGTCCCTGCTTTCTGGGTACATACCCAGAAATGGAATTGCTCTATTATATGGTAATTCTATTTTTAATGTTTTTGAGGCACTCTATACTGCTTTCCACAGCTGTACCATTTTACATTCCTACCAACAGTGCACAGGGTTCCAATTTCCCAACATCCTTACAACTTGTTGTTTTCTTACAGGTTTGTTTGTTTGTTTTTATAGTAGCCATCTTGATGGGTGTGAAGTAGCATCTCGTAGTTGTGATTTGCATTTCCCTAATGATCAGTGATGTTAAGTATCTTTTTTATGTGCTTACTGGCCATTTGTACAGTTGACCCTTGAACCACACGGCTTGAACTGTGCAGGTCTACTTATACATAGATTTTTTTCTCAATAAATGCAGTAGTACAGTACTATGAATATATTTTATCTTCTGTATCATTTTCTTAATGAGATTTTCTTTTCTCTAGCTTAGTTTAAGAATACACATAACGTACAAAATATGTATTAATCGACTGTTATTGGTAAGGTTTCAGCTCAACAGTAGGCTTTTAGTACTTAAGTTTTGGGGGAGTCAAAAGCTATCATCGATATTTGTGCTGGAGAGGGGTGGTACCCTGAAACCTTGCATTGTTTGAGATATCCACTGTATATCTTCTTTGAATAAATGTCTCTTTAAGGCTTTCACCCATTTTTTTTTTAAATTTTTTTTTTTTTCCAACGTTTATTTATTTTTGGGACAGAGAGAGACAGAGCATGAACGGGGGAGGGGCAGAGAGAGAGGGAGACACAGAATCGGAAACAGGCTCCAGGCTCCGAGCCATCAGCCCAGAGCCTGACGCGGGGCTCGAACTCACGGACCGCGAGATCGTGACCTGGCTGAAGTCGGACGCTTAACCGACTGCGCCACCCAGGCGCCCCAGCTTTCACCCATTTTTAAATTGGGTTTTTGTTGTTGAGCTTTAGGAGTTCTCTATATGTTCTGGATATTAATCCCATATCACATCTTTGATTTGCACATATTTTCTAGCATTCTCTGTGTTGCCTTTTTATACTCTGTTGATACTGTCTTTTGATGCACAAAATTTAAAAATTTTATAGTCTGATTTGGCTGGGTTTTTTCTTTTGTTGCCTGTGCCTTTTGTGTCATCCAAGAAACCATTGCTCAGTCAGGTGTTGTGAAGCTTTTGTTGTATATTTTCTTCTAAGAGTTTGATAGTTTTTTGCTGTTTTCTTTACTTTTTTTTTTTTTTTTTTTTTAAGTATGCTCCACACCCAGCGCGGAGCTCGAACGCACAACCCTGAGGTCAAGAGTTGCATGCTCTACTACTGACTGAGCTGACTGGGTGTCCCAAGAGTTTGATAGTTTTAAATCTTACATTTAGATATTTGATCCACTCTGCAGTAATTTTTGTAGATGATGTTAGGTAAGAGTCCAACTTCTTGGATATCCAGTTTTCCCAGCACCATTTGTTGAATCTTATTAGTTGAAATGAATGTTATTATGTTCAATACTTATTTTTACATTTCTCAGTTTTCATTTGTAATAAGGTAAATATTGATAGATATAATCCACATTTGGGATCATCAGTAATCTTTAAGGGTGTAAAGGGCGACAAAAAGTTGGAGCACCGTTGACATAGAGAATCTTCAAGCGCTTTCCCCAGACTTTGACTATAGTCCCTTTCTTCATTGGTGCTTCTTACTGGATCTGTGTCCTGAAGGATGCACAGTAGGAACAGCATCATCAATGTGGGGTGAGGTCATTGTTTTTCTGGACCTCAGATGCAAAGCTGAGTTAATTATGTTCCTCAGTTCATGGCAAAGTTTCTCTCTTTACTTATATTCCCTTCCATCCCCTACTGTCACCCTCTCCCCTCATTCTGGATATGTGTAGTTCCTAGAAATCCTTTTATTCTGGTAATGACAGCCTACCAGATAAGGATGCTGCTGTAGGTCCATTTAGTAAATATTAGTAAAACTGATTTTTTTTAATTGATAAACACATATAACTAGAAGCTATAGTTCTTTCTTCCTGTATCTTAGTGGCTTGTTTTTTAGACTGCTTGGGGTTTACTCACCCCTTTCTGAACAAAGGCTCCTGGGTGACCCATTTTTTGCCGCTGTACATGTTTCACTTGGTTAGCTTACAGATTGTTCTAGAACTAGTCCCTTTTCCTTCTTTAACTACCTAAAGGGCTTTTCTTTCTTTCTTTTTTTTCTTTTAATGTTTTTGAAGTTTTCAGATTGAATCCAACCTGTTGGTTCGTATATTTACTCAATTATCAAGCTCTTACTGTGTGTAAGACACTCTGAGCAAGGCATTCTGGGCTGTATAAATCTGTAAAAGCTGTACTTCCTGCCCTTGGATCAGATCAATTTTGTCAGAGTCAGATGAAATTAAAATACTGGGTTGCTTCTCAGCCTTTTGGCCAAGATCAAGTGTAGTATCTGTTTCTTATCAGTTTAATATCTGATATGTCCTCTATCGGAGGACAATATATTAAATGGGTTTTTGGAACTAGGAGGTGAAATAGGAGCTTGCTCCATCCACTCCACACATCCCCCTGGTATTGCAGTACCTCCAGGAACGGTGCAACCACCCCCACCCCCACCCCGGGGAATTAAAAAAAAAAATTAAGTATTGTTAAATAGGGAATGGGAGAGTTGCTTCATTGTCCTCTATTTTTAGAAGTGTTTTCATTGTATAATCTCTCTTTCTTTCTCTGTCTCTACCTTGTGGGAGATGTTTCTCCCCATGTCTATAAGTAACTTAAATATAAATGTTCTAACAATACTCGTATTTGCATGAAGCCCCTCTTTTCAATTAAAAAATATTTATAAAGTATAAAATATTATTATAACTAGTTGAGTTTTAGTTTTTTAGGTAAATGCCCACATGATTGGGCATTTATAAAACTATTACCAGTTAGTTTATAATTACAAAATTCTTAAAACCTGTAATATTTATTTATTTTTTTCTAGGTTGCAATAAAAATAATTGACAAAACTCAGTTGAATCCAACAAGTCTACAAAAGGTAAGATTGGTTCAGTATCCAGTGTTTTTAAAATGATTTTCGGTACAAATTGCCATCAAATTTGTCCCTTCAGTACACCTGTTATTTTTAATTATTATGTTTAGTACAGTAAAGATTCTGATTCCAACATGAATGCAACTTAGATGTAGTATTGTACAAAAAGTTGTTGGATTTTTTTTCCTTCAGATGAATATAATGATTTTTAAGTGTTCTTAATAGCACAAACTGAAGGCTGTACATTTTAACTGAATACTCTTAAGTATCAACTAGAACAGATTTTTTTAAAAACATTTTTGTGTGATTACTCTTAATGTAGAGTTATACACCTTTCTTATAGCTAATACTGAGGTCTTTAAGGTCAGCACTTTGGGTTTTATTAAATTCTGTCACTATGTCTAATTAATAACTGATGATTAATTCATAGGAAAATGTAAAAATAAAAATAATTGAAAAACGTGTTTGTAATGCACTGTTGCCATTTGTATCATCTAATGGAGATCTGAAATTTTCAACCTGGTGCATGTTAGAATTCTGTGGACCTCTTTTGAAAGTCTTGATGACTGGCCTAGAGAGATTTAATTGCTCAGATTAGGGGCCTGGCATAGGTATTTCACTGGTGCATTAGCAAATGATTAATGATCTTCATAATAAAATCCTTCTTGTTCTTTTTAGTCTTGCATAGCCTTTTTACATACTTTGTTTGATTTCTAAATTTGGCCAATCCTAGTTGGGGTTTTAGAGACCCTGAACTAGGAACAGGTAGTCCTAATTTAAGTCCTGGCTTTGCCACTTAGTGAAATGTCTAACTTGACCTCGAGCTAACTGTCTCAAGCTAACTTTCTTAACCTTGGCTTTCTCATCTTTAAAATAGAGATAATTTCGGGGCGCCTGGGTGGTTCAGTCGGTGGAGCGTCTGACTTCAGCTCAGGTCATGATCTCGCGGTTTGTGAGTTCAGTCCTGGCATCGGGCTCTGTGCTGCCAGCTCGGAGCCTGCAGCCTGCTTCGAATTCTGTGTCTCCCTCTCTCTCTACTCCTCCATTACTCATACTCTGCCTCTCTCTGTCTCTCAAAAATAAATAAATGTTAAAAAAATTTTTTTTTAAATAGAGATAATTTCATCTGCTCATGATGGATGAATTAATAAAATAATGCACTTAAAAGAGTATAAACTGCAAAGCATTTCTCATGTAAGATACTGTAAGCATATTGCCCTGTATAAATTCCTAATGTTTTCCTAATGATTGTTTTCCATTTATATCATTGTAATTTTGAAGTCGTGTGTGTGTGTGTGTGTGTGTGTGTGTGTGTGGGAGGGAGGGAGGGAGGGAGGGGGAGAGAGAGAGAGAGAGAGAGAGAGAGAGAGAGAGAGAGAAGTAGGAGGGACGGAGTTTATCTTGCACTAAAAATGGTAAACAAGTTGCTTCTGCAGGCCAAAGTGAGTCTTAATGGCACTCAGGGTGGCTTTTGGAATGGACCCAAAAGTTGCAGTTCTTTGTTCTGAAGATAAAATTGTATCCATTACTTTAAACGTTAATTTCTTCATATATCTAAGGACTTGGTTTTAATAAGTAAGTTAAGGGTTAATAAATTTGGTATTCAAAACTAAAATTAGTATATGAGAAGTTTATTGAGGATTCTAGTTTAATATCCTGTATTTTGGATATTGACCCCTTATTGGGTATATGGTTTGTAAATATCCTCTTTCATTTAGTAGATTGCTTTATTGTTTTGTTGATGGTTTCCTTTGCTGCATAAAAGCTTTTTATTTTGGTGTAGTCTCAATAGTGTAATTTCACGTTTGTTTCAATTGTCTGAGGAGACATCTAGAAGAATGTTTCTATGGCCAATGTCAAAGAAATTACTGCCCGTGGTTTCTTCTGGGAGTTTTATGGTTTCAGGTCTGACATTTAGGCCTTTAATCCCTTTTGACTTTATTTTTGTGTGTGGTGTGAGAAAGTGGTCTATTTTCATCTTTTTTTTTTTTTTTTTTGAGGGACCTTCATCCTGTTTTCCAGACGGTTTCATCTTTTGCATGTAGCTGTCAAGTTTTCCCAGCACCATTTATTGAAGTATAGGGCACTGTTTTAAATCATGTGTATTGGTTCATATTCTTTTCTTATAAATTAAAAGCATTCTCTCTATATTTCTTTATAATTCTTTTTCACTGAATTGCTTTCCTATGGAAAAGTGGCTGTAGGGTAGAGTGTACATGGCATCTTTGCCTTTGGGATAGTGCTTCACACAGCCTTTTTTCTTCCTCAGCACGGTGCACAATTGTATCACATCTGTGTCAGGAACAGCTCTCTTTATATAATGTGATTTTAATCCTTGAAACTTAGGGCACTGCCTTAGAAGCTAACATTCACTTCAAGGAACATTGTGCCATCAACAAAATGTAATCTTTTTGTATTGCCACTTATCAAAAAATGTGGACTGGCTCATTCAAGAGTGTTTTTAACATGCGTGTTACAATAGTGTCCGTTTCAAAATATTCACATTATTCAGGCTTGCACATTGAATCATGCACATTTAATAAATTCATATAAGTAAACCTGAATTGATTGCACATTTGTAAACTGATGTTATTTTCATAGACAGATCTCTTCATTTTTCTTTTTATTTTTCCAGCCATTGCATTAGTAAATGTTAGATTCTGTTAAGAGATATTTTTCTCCATTGTTTTTGTACTTTTCAACTTTGAACTACTATTCCTAAGATGTTTTCTCTTTGTAAATGTTTTTGGTCGTCCTTTTTTGTTGTTGTTGTTTTTTAAGGTCAGTCTTTTTATTGTTGTGTACCTATAATGGTTTTGAAAGCAGCAGGTATAAGAACTATGTTAGTCTTGGGGCGCCTGGGTGGCGCAGTCGGTTAAGCGTCCGACTTCAGCCAGGTCACGATCTCGCGGTCCGTGAGTTCGAGCCCCGCGTCGGGCTCTGGGCTGATGGCTTGGAGCCTGGAGCCTGTTTCCGATTCTGTGTCTCCCTCTCTCTCTGCCCCTCCCTCGTTCATGCTCTGTCTCTCTCTGTCCCAAAAATAAATAAACGTTAAAAAAAAATTTTTTTTTTAATTAAAAAAAAAAAAAAGAACTGTGTTAGTCTTTTTGGTTTTACACATTTTTATTTTTATTTATTTTTTTAAATTTTTAATGTTTATTTTTGGAGAGAGACAAAGCGTGAGCAGGGGAAGGGGCAGAGAGAGAGGGAGACACAGAATCTGAAGCAAGTTCCAGGCTCTGAGCTGTCAGCACAGAGCCCGATGCAGGGCTCGAACCTACAAGTTGTGGGATCATGACGTAAGCCGAAGTAGGATGCTTAACCGACTGAGCCCACCCAGGCGCCCCTGGTTTTACACATTTTTAAATTTGATTTCATTATATGCAAGTAATCTTGCTGGGTCTTATTTTAGTCTGTCATTAAGAAGCAAGTTATGGCTCAGTTTTAAAAAGGTATTTACCTATTAAAGACGTTCAGGTATACTCAGTATAATCCATCTAGTAACTACTGTTCTTTGTCAGTGTTGGAGTAGACTGTTAACATACAGAGAGAGTATAGAGTGATGGTTGGGAACATTATGAAGCCAGGCTACATGGATTCAGAGCCAGGCTTAACCCAGCTTAGCTGTGTGACAAGTCACTTAACCTCCCCAGGTCTTAGTTTCCTCACTTTTAAAATGGGAACAGTAGCAGTAGGTAATAGGGCTGTAGTAAGAATTAAATAAGTTAATATTTTATTAAAACAATTTGTTTTGAAAGAGTGCAAGCAGGGTGAGTGGGGGTGGGGTGGGGAGAGAGAATCTTAAGCAGGCTCCATGCTCAGTGCAAAGCCCAGCACAGGGCCCAGTCCCAATGACCCTGGGATCATGACCTCAGTGGAAATCAACAGTTGTACGCTTTAGCCGACTGACCCACCCAGGCACCCCTTTTTAAGTTTCTCTTTGTGTTCCAGTTAACATAAAGTGTAATATTAGTTTCAGGTGTTCAACATAGTGATCCAACATTTCCACACAACACCCGGTGCTCGTCACAGTAGGTGCACTCCTTAATCCCTATCACCTGTTTCATCCTTGTCCCCTCCACCTCCCTCTGGTGACCGTCAGAGTGTTCTCTCTAAAGTTAAGAGTCTGTTTCTTCGTTTGCCTCTCTCTCTTTTTTGCCCCTTTGTGTGGTTTTAAATTTCATGTATGAAAAAAAAATTACACAGGAGTGAAAGCAGATGGTCTTTGTCTTTCTCTGACTTATTTTGCTCAGCATTCTATTCTCTAGTTTGATCCACATCTTTGCGAATGGCAAGATTTCATTCTTTTTTATAGCTGAGTAATATTCCATTGTATGTATGTATGTGTGTACATGTGTATATACACATACATACTACATCTTTATTCATTTATCAATCGATGAACACTTGGGCTGTTACCATAATTTGGCTATTGTAGATAATGCTGTTGTAAACATAGGGATGCCTGTATCCTTTGAATTATCCTTTGGGTAAATACCCAGTAGTGGGATTGCTGGGTTGTAGGGTAATTCTGTTTTTAACCAAGGATCCTCCATACCTTTTTCCAGAATGGCTACATAGTTTGCATTCCCACCAAGAGTGCAAGAGGGTTCCCCTTTTCCCACATCCTAGCTAACACCTATTGTTTCCTGTGTTGTTGGTTTTAGCCTTCTGATAGGCATGAGGTAATACCTCGTTGTAGTTTTGATTTGTATTTCCCTAATGATAAGTGATGATGAATTTCTTTTCTGTGTCGGCCATCTGGGTGTGTTCTTTGGAAAAATGACTGTTCACGTCTTCTGCCCATTTTTAAATAGGATTATTTCGTTTTTAGGTGTTGTTTTATAAGTTCTTTATATAGTTTGGATACTAGCACTTTATTGAATATGTCATTTGTAAATATCTTCTCCCGTTCAGTAGGTTGCCTTTTAGTTTTGTTGATTGTTTCCTTTGTTGTGCATAAGTTTTTTATTTTGGTGTAGTCCCAATATTTTATTTTTGTTTTT